CTGACAGTTATCAGCTGTCTTCGTAGTCAGACATCAGTGGGGCAGAAGAACAGCAGGAGCCTGTTCCCAGTGTGCGCATGTGCAGAGCTGCCAGAAGGGAACAGCTAAGGAACAAGGCCCAACTCGGGAGTAAAGGCACAGGTGGATGGTGAATGGCCCCTCCCAGAGGAGCGAAAGGGGAGTGGAGTTTGCAGGAAACAATTAGTTCGCTTAATTAGTGTGAAGATTTGTTTGTGACTCTCAAGAGACTCCTTGCCAAGTATTTTCTTGTGTTTGGAAGGTATCGGCCTGGCAGCTCTCCAAGCCAGATAAGGTCTGTCCTTGTAAATTCACCCTTCAAAGACTGTTTGCCGGGACTTTGCTGGATGCGAATGAGAGGATTTCACATTAGCTTAATAAAAAAGGGGTTTTTGTCTCGGGACAAGGAGCCTGTTTCGTGATTTTGCGAAGCCTGGGTCAGAACGCCATTCGACAACCTCTCTCGCCACAGTTGTTAAGTGAATCACTGCAGTTGATAAGTGAAGTCACCCGCTTGTGAAGCGAAACTGGCTTTTCCCGTGAACCTCGCTTGTGAGAACGTCATTAAAGGGATCATGTGACACACACACACACACACACACACCAGACACTGCAACCGTCATAAATATGAACCAGTGGCCAAACATCTGAATTTTGATCACCTGATCGTAGGGATGCTGAGAAGGTCGTAACTTTGAATGGTCACTAAATGAACTCTTGTAATTTGAGGACTACTAGAACTCTCTATAGGAATTTAAAATCCAATTCTGCTGGGTGGTTTGGAGACCCACGCTTCACGCCGGAGCTGGTTGATGAAATAAAATCTAATCCCATCTTCCCCCTCACCTCTTCCACCCCACCCACCCCCATTTATCCACCTCCTTCCTTCACCATCTTGTGTTAATAATTTTCTTTTATCTGCCTTTGTTATTTTACAGCAATAGCCCTTAGACTTATATACCGCTTTACAGCCCTCTCGAAGCGGTTTTACAGAGTTGGCCTATTGCCCTCAACAATTTCTCGGTGGCTCCTTTGGCCATCCTGGAGCATGCAATTCCTACTTTTCCCCCCCGATTATCTCTTTTATTCATTAAACATGAAACTTAGTCAACTGAACATTTAAAGATGTGTCACAAATACCATTGACTGGTGCTAATGATTGACACGGGTTGCTGCAAGCATCCTAGGTATCAACCAAGTATCCTCTTTATTATTTTGTCTTTAAAATAATATCTTGATGATGACAATGACGACATATAATCTTTGCTAGCACATTGTAGCTCTAAACACGGATTCATTCTTCTCCTTCTCTTTTTCTTTCTCAATACAATACAATACAGTACAATAGCAGAGTTGGAAGGGATCTTGGAGTTCCAATTTATTAAGAGAGCCATGTTGGCACATCTGGGAAAACCCGAATCTGAAGGCTTCCTGGTTTTCCCCACCCAGTTGAAAGTTCAACATCCTTCCCCCATACCCACAAGACCATCACATGGTCCAATCTCCCACTGCCACTCTGGCAGCTTCCACCCGTCCAGTTCCGGTCAGGTGCAGAGGTGCAGAGACAAAGGATGACCTTGGCTTTCTAGAAAGAATGCTGTTATGGCTACATATCATCTAACTCCGTACCATTCCCACAATAGAAAAGACATAGTAGAAGAACAGAAAGTGCGGTGGGCCTGAGATCCGAAAGAAAACTGCAGGCCTGACACAGTTCCTGATTGAGTCTCCAGATTGCATGTGCCACGCCTTGCTAATTTTGCTGCGTGATACGCCAGGCAAAATAACCTTCTATCGCTGTCTTCCCTTCCAGATCCAACCACCATTTTGTCCGGACATGGAAGGGGCCATCCTGAACATTTCAGAGACGTGGAATTCCCCACTGAATCTTGACTCTCTGCAGTGTGGGAGACGGAAAGGGGGGTGCCCCCCTAGCTCGGTGCCGCCCAGTTCCCCCTGCATGGTCATCGTGCCGCTGGGCGAGGCTGGGAGCGGAAATGGGGAAATGGCCCAGGGGGATTCCCCCCAAAAGCCGCTCCCTGCTGCTTGCTCTGAGGCAAAGGAGAGAATGTGGGCCCGAGAGGAGCTGACCCAAAGCCAAGCGGAAGAGGAAAGGAGGCAGGGGGCTTCGGCTTGGATGCCGCAGACCCCTAAGTCCATTCTGCTTACACCGGGGGACAAGCATGGCAGGACGAGGAAGAAGGTGGGTGTTGAAAAAGAATCTGCTCGGCGGGCAGTCTTGATCTCTGGCAGCTGCAAAACGTCTGGAAAGCTGCCAGGGTGGGTGATACTGATTTAAGACAGGGAGACTAGTGGTTTGAGCCATGAGGACTAGAATCTTACTTTTAAAAGAGGTGAAACTCCGCTGGTTTTCAGGCAAGAGGTGATAGATAATATGTCTTTGTTCCAAGTAACGCCCCCAACGAAAGAAGACTCCGAGGCTTAAGTTTTCTCAAAGTTCCATTTTATTACAGATGTCCTATTGGCACATCTGGGAAAACCCAAATCTGAAAGCTTCCAGGTTTCTCCCACCCAAAAGAAAATCCAAGTCCCTGCCCAGCGCCCACATGGCCCAATCAGGCCCCGTCCCAACTGGAGATGCCTCCCAGTCACGTTACTCCAGGTGCCGGGCAAGCTGTCCTTGACTCTCTGAGAAAAGAATGTTATTTTGACTATATATATCTCCCATACTCCATATAATTCCCCCCCCTCCCAATGTAAAAGATGGCGTCCAGATCTGACATAATGTTGGGCATATCAGAGGCGCTATGTGGTCATTGGCACCAAAGAGGCACCGTTTTTTTTCTTTTTCCAGAAGGAAGCCGGGCACGTCACGTTCGTCTCCGACACGGAGGAGCATTTGATCCCAGCGGACAGCATGTCAGCGCAGCCTTTCCTGGGCTACGACTGGATCGCAGGTGGGAAGAAGTGGTGAGCTTGCTTCCCGCAACATCTACACGGAGCCTCCGTGCTCAGATGCAGTCTATCTGCACACTGGGGTGGGGGAGCTTTTGCAAATCCATCGAACTCCCCTTAGGAGCCTCCCTTCTATCTGTGTAGCTCTCTCTTTTTTTTAACGTAAAAACACTGCTGCATTTTTATTTTATTATCGGGAGTGTTCCAGGAAGCAGCTGTGGCTGTCTTCCAGAGATGTTTTACTGTAGGTCCCATCATGCTGGGCCCTTTGCCCTCTTCTGGTCCTCCTAGCCAGCACAGGACCAACGTTCTAATCGGATCTGGCAGCTTTTGTTTCTATGTGCCAAGAAAAAGGAGGCATAGACAGGAATAGTTTACCTGTGTATACTTCCCCCCCCCCCCATGTTTTATTTATATTACATTCCATTTCCATCAGACAGTGTGTGATCTGGGTACAATTATTTGAACAGTCATAATGCACATATTTGTTATTATATTCGTCAAAATAATGTTAATAATATCACAATATATTAGTACGACTACAATAACATCTTCATCGTCAAATTCTCTCCACATTAACATTTTCTCTTTTTACATATCTCCTCCTTTCTGACTTCTGCTTCTATTGCCTAACCATTGATAAAATACATCCCATGTCAGAAATATTTTCTTCTTTAGCCTTAATAATAAGCGTTAGTCTGTCCATTTCTGCGCATTCTAGTATTTTCTTTTTTTTTTGCAATTTTTTTTTATTTTTAAACATAAAAAACAACATTAAAAACATTCTCATCCATTACATACAGCATGTTGTTTGGTTACAAGTGTTTTTGCATCCATATTCTCAATTACATTTACAATCACAGATTTTCTGTCTAATATAACTAGATACCTCACTTTCATTGTACAACATGTATTCAATTACAATTAATATTTCTTTTTTTCCAATAAACCTAATTCCCTTACATTCTTGATTGTCTGTTTAATAACAATATG